GCATTCTTTGCATATATCAATTTGAATATCTCTTGAAGGCTAGACCCATACATGATATGCCCAATGCTTCCCAAAAAACTCATACACCCAGGCGCAGTACCATTTTCTTTATTTCATTGTTCGACTGTTCTTTTACTCGTATATCATAGGCCTTCCAGTACAACGGCTGGTCAAATGTAAGAATATGCGTTTCTTGTACCGTACAGCTTGATTTTTAACAAACAATATTGTTGAATAAATGCAGGATGGATCACTTGGACTTAAATCTATTATAGGAAGAAATACCACTGATGTAGCTCCAGGGTAAGTGCCTGTTGATGTCATCTGCCAAACACCAGACCAGCCAGGTGTAGGTGTCTTCAAAGGCCATGCAATTTGCATGAAGATGTCAACGTTGCTTGTACAATCACTCGAACAGTATCCTGCAATCTGGTATATCTCAATTCAGACATGGTATTGATAGGGGCTTTATGATATGTCAAGTCAATTTTCCCCACAAATTTTAAGTCATTTATGGTCATAGGTTTCCTCTTTATAACATTGCCTACAAACACACCAGGGGAAGTACCAGCATCAATGCCCATTCCATGGAATGTTTCATTGCCATCAAGAGTACAAATATTGTGGTCCACATTATCAGCAATGAACTGTAAGCAGCTATTTTCCTAGCAACCAGGCAAGGACATGCCCTGAGAAAAAGCAGCAGAGGTTTCAAACCGTTGTACTTCTGAATAGGAGGAACAAAATCCAATATTATACAAAGTTTCTATAAGTAACCTGGAACCAAAAATGTTGTGCATTTAAATGGCAAGTCCAATCTGTAGATTTGGTTGCAAACATCTTGGTCTTGTTGCCTGCATAATAGCCTGTCCTAGGGATGAAATCTTCACATCATTTTCTTTTTCAACAAACAGTCCTTGCAGCAACATTCTAAGGCCACTAGGAATATAATTCATGTTGTCTGATACTGAAGAAATTGAGTTAGCAGATGGATAGGTGTCTTTTGATGCATCAATAGACCTAATTTCACTCTTTAAAAGTTTTGCTGCTGTTGTTATAATTGAAAGCCTTTCTTCTTCTGCATCCTTGAATTTAGGACGATGGTAGAAATCCTGGAGAATATTGTTTGCTGTGTCTCAGAGTTACAACTCCAGAAGTGCCATATTTTTCAAAAATTATAATGCCATCTTTGAAGTGATCCTTGAGTTTCTTTTTCATGTACACTGAGGAGTTAGCATCATCTCCACACAGTTTTTTATTTCTTCTACGAGCTCATTGATTGTGACTTGTTCATCTTCATGTTCTTTGAAGAAAGAAACAATGTGTTGGAAATACTCATCTGTGTTGTTTGACCGTCCTCTCTTAAAAGCGCGATCAGTTTCTGGAACAAATAACTGTGGCTTAGCTTTCTTTGTACGAAAATTAACACTACAACTCTGATGGTATAAAGCATCAGCAGCATGCAAATCATTAATACATTTGATCGCGGCTAGGATAAGGCTGCCCGTAAAATATCAAACTGATCAAACTGTACTAACTTCTCTGAACTACCAAGATATGACGTCATAATAGAATATGACGTCAAGTCACTGCATTCTTCAGCTGACATGACGGGGAAAGTGTCATAAATTTTTACAGGGCATGTAGATTTTATGGAGTGTTGTTGTTTAATTTAAGTGTTGGGATTGTATTTTAATCGCCAGTGTGCTGTTATGATGTTGAACATTTGAAATTTATATACACCTGTTCCTTTCGCTTGTCCGATATGCACATATTTAAACAATAGCTAAAAATTATGTGTGAAACGCTCCCCTTATACGTCTGTAGACAAAGTTAGAATTTATGAATCGTGAATATATTGGACTGGTACAAGTGATAAACAAGGACAAATTGAAGATATTCTATGTGAATCTACAGGATAAGTAAGTCTTCTAACTGAATTTTGCTGGGGGATCGTATGTAGTTTATCCATTTTTATATAAATTGCGATAAAGAGTGGAAAATACCCCTTTTTAGGCTAGTAAATTGAATTTCTTGTAAAATATTTTCTTACGAAGTAAAAATTAAACCTGCCCCAGCACTTTCTATGTACCAGAGATCGCGATAAATTGATCTATCAAACAAACTTTGCACAATAAGTTTGTTTTGCACTTGTGCCGAAGCGATTTTTGTGCCGCATTTAAGAATATCATAAATGTCCGTCACGTGATCAACAGAGTCATGTGACATCACAAAAATGCTTTATTATAATACCTGATTAAACGATTTTCTCAATTTCACTGCAATTTCAATCATGGATTGCATATTGAAATTAAAATCTAGTTCAAAAGAAATTGTATATTTTTAAGGCATTTTAAGCCTTGGGACAGCCTTATCATAACTGCGATTCTACCACGCACTTCAGTAAACCAGTCATCTCCTCTTTCATCACAAATCAGTAGACTATTGCTTTGAAAATCATTAGTTCGAACAGGATGTATCTCTACTGATCTTTTCTTGTCCATTTTAGCTGTTTGTCCACAGAAAAGACACTGGGTAGCAAACATAAACTGTTCTTTAGAGCGAGTCAAACGCTGTTTTGAAGCACACTCATTTGATACTGACCTTTGCGTGGCAGCTTTGTTTATGTTAAATTCGTTTATTTAGACCTCTCGGCACTCTGAATGCACATACTGTCAAGCTTCTGTGAAAAGCTTGTCACCACGCTTTTGGGCTGCATCATTAATTCATTTGCTTCCCTTTTCCCTCAAGCATACAAGTGGCAGGTTGTCATCCTTCAAACAAATGACACATTTGGCCATTTCTGTCTGTAATCTGAAATATGGTGATGAAACTTGTAAAATGAAAGCATTATTAATTCTTGTTTTTAAACAAAATTCAAACAATCATATGAAGGCAGTTTAAATTGAATAGAGTTGTTCATGAGATTAAGAAAAGTTGTGTAGAAATAATAAAATGAAAATGCTAAGCATAAATAAAATAACATGAAATATCATATAAATTTTAATTGAATAAAATTATAATAAAAATGAAATCGATAAAACAGAAGAAAAATAAATAAAACTTAGCCTAGAGTAACTCTTTTTCCAAGATAACACTTGGTCATTCTTCTTACTGCAGCAGAAATCATAATAAATCAAACAATAAAATCATAAAAAAAGAGCAAACACATGAAAAAATGATGGATTTTACGTAATTGTTCAACTAATGGTATTCCATACTTTTTTGTTTTTAACAAGTACACCCCATCGTAAAACTGGTTAAAAAGTATAATAAAGACAAAGTAGAAAGAAAACAAAATAAAAAAGGCTTTGAATATTATCCCTGGCTATGTTTCAGTGTTTTATCTCGTTCCCACTTAGTTTATCACCACTTATATCCACATAACAAATAGATCCTGGTATACTGTAGAAGTACTTTTTTCCGCGTGGTATTAATTTACGTTATGTACACGGTCACAAATTTTCCGCGGAAATTTGTCCAAGCGTACTTAATATAAATGTAAGGCATATAGTGAAGTCTAAGAAATCCGCGTAATTTTCTACCTGCGGATTAAACAGAACTTGAGATTCCGCGGAATAATAACCCAGTGATAAAAAGTACGTCTACAGTATCTTTATACAAATGTACATAGTTGTTTAAAGGTACTTGGACACAGATTTGAAGTTAATATTTTCTCATTTTTTCTGTATAATATCACGAATTATATATTTTAATAGCATTTCACACAAAAATTAATTAAAAGTCTTATTTCGTTTAAAAGTTATGAAAACTTTAGATTTTTCGGCGGGTTTGATTGACACATCCTTGCACTTTCACAAATTTTATCTTTTTTCTTAATCCTGAGGAAAAGTGGCAATTTTGATGTGTTTTAATGAGAAATATTAAAACTTTTATCGAGAAAAATAATTTTATTCAGAGTAGAAATGTTAGAAAGCAAAACACCTTCACAAGTATCGTCATTCCAAACTAAGAGATGCGTGCAGAGTTTAGCAAATCGAGCACACTCGGGTTATGTACACAGTTTTTGTAAACAGGGCTCGAGTTCTGTTATTGTTTATATTTAGAATTCACCGGGTGCGTTCAATCGTCACAGTCTGCTTACCACAACTGCACGGAGTTACAATATATTGTGTGTTTGTTTTACTTTCGAACGTGTCTACTCTGAATTTTCTGGATTATAGTATTAATATTTTTCAGTTATACAAAGCGAGATTGCCACTTTTCCTAAAGTTAAGAATAAAATTAAATTTGTGAGAGTGCAACGATATGTCAATCAAACCCGCCGAAAAATTTCAAATTTCAATATCTTTTAAATGAAATAAGATTTTTAATTAATTTTTGTGTGAAATGCTATTAAAATATATAAGTCGTAATATTATAGAGAAAATAATAACTTCAAATATGTGTCCAAGTACCTTTAAACTGCTAGGAAATCTTATAACTGGACTTTCAGAGATGATTTTCTCAATGAAATAAAAGTGTTATGCTGTTCTTACGTGTCTTTTCTATTCCATTACAAGAATACAATAACTGAAACTAAATTGTCTGCTATTGCATTGTACAGGAAGTTGATTTATTATCTCCCTTTGAATGAACTGCAGCTGAGTGGTGACATAAAATCTTAAAGCAAAAGTATCATAATAAACTTTTTTTTAAATTTACCCTTTCCTAAACTTTTGATATGTTTAAACACATATATAATATGATTTAAATTTGTTGAAAGAAATTCTATTGCAATTAGTTCATATTTTTTTTTGGATTGACTAGACTAAATATCTTATAAATGTAAGCAGAACTCTAAAACTAAAAAAACTCTATTGCTTTGATCCGTTGATATTTCATACATGTCAAAAGAATCAATGTTTTACAGTGTATACCTAGTGAAGCAACTTCTCTCTTCAGTCTTTGCTCCCATAAACAAAGAAATCCACCAACTTGATTATAGCAAGTTGACCTGGCAGGGCACAGATTCATTTTATATTCATCTGAATCCTTTTCACATTGCTTCCCGATGTATCCACCATGACATCGGCATTCATAAATAGTCTGATTCATGATACAAGTCCAATTATTTTGACATGGTGCTGAAAGACACTGATCAAACACGTCAAAGGTTTTATCTTAGAGGTCAGGTAAGCATGAACAAGAAAAAGAATCTTGTCCACTGTGACAAGTTCCATTGTTGTGGCAAGGCGAACTTGAACAATAATTGTACTCCTCGCAGTTGTCTCCCTTCCATTCATCTGGACAATCACAAGAGTAGGTAGTATTTTTTTCTAACAGATACCACAATTTCTGCATGGTTAATTTACACAGTGATTATAAATATTACAATCCTAACCAACCCATCCCTTTCAATGCAAAAATATGTATCTAACAAATTTTGACAAAGCCGAACAATTTTACTAGGATGGTCTACGCAAAAGTTTTGGAGTTCGCAACGTTTTCCATACCATTCTTTGTAGCAAACACGTAGGAAAAAAGAGTACCCACTATGACATGTTCCATTATTTTCACAAACATTTATTGCACAGTAATCGTTTTCCTCACATAATTTTCCTTTCCAGCCAGATTTGCATTCACAGTGATATTCAATGCATTTACCACTATTTTGACATGAAGAACTTTTGCAGGAGTGACATTCACAAATGAAGGTACTTTTTTTGTTGATGCAGATCTGAAGTGCCCCACAGGGATCGTCTTTGCAAAAATTGATTTCATTACAGTGAGTACCTGTCCAGTCTTCTGTGCAATTATACACTCGTCTAAACTATTTATCAAAGCATTTTCCACCATTTAGACAATGAAAAGTAAAGCAATCATGACATTCGTTTAACTTGTTAACACAGGTAGTGTTTTTTGGACAAGAAACATTGTTTAGAGATTCATCAATGTCTCTTTCACAAAATTCCCCACTCCATCAATCTCTACATGTAAAATAAAATGACCCATATGTATATATTTCCACAAAATGTGCTGTTTTTGCAGGAAGATCTAGTTATGCATTCGTTCACATCAATATCGCAATATCGAAAATCGTTTGTCACATATGTAGAAGAATGAATCATCTACATCAAGACATGTTGCATTATTTTTATAAGGGTCAAGAGAACAAGAATTGATATGATTTTCACAATGACGTCTTGTCCATGTTGGTGAACACGCACTCTTATAATCTCCATACTTGTTAATACAAGTCCCATGAGAACCACAAACTAAATACTGACACTCATTAATATATTTGTCACACAGTTCACCTTGGTAAAACGGAGAACATGAACATGCAAAACCGTCTACAGCATCCAAACAGGTTGCATTGTCACAATTGTCACAGTACAACTTTAAATAACAATGGTAAACTGCGCTTTAAAACTAATAGGGACAATATTTTTGGTGTAATGGTGGCGTATGAATATATCCTTATTTCTGCCTCTCAAAATTATTATAAAACAATTAATTTAATTATAATTTTTATACAATCAAAGACCAAAAGAATTTTAAAATTTAAGTAAATTAATAATAAGGGGCTAAATTTCAAAATAATTCAAATTGATATGATTTTTCAAACAAACCAGAACTATGTTGGCTTTTAAATGCTTCATTTCTAAATACAGATTTGAGCAAAAAATCTGCAAAAAAGAGTTATTTCTCTACTAGTGAACGGTCAAAACTTTTTGTTTTTTGTGTCATTTTGTATCTTTATGTGACAACTTTACTTTATGTGAAAATAAGAAAAATTTAAATATAAAAAGCGTATAAAAATAACTAATACGTATATCCTAAAAATTAAGTATATCCGCTTTAGTTAAATTATTTACGAGGGACGTTCAATAAATAATGTCATTAGCTCGGTGACATACAACATAGAAATCATATGACAGTAAGCTAGACTTTCTCTCATTATTGAATCTTTAATGAATTAATAACAGTATATGTGACCACTTTTCATCACATAGTTTCATCGTGAGAATCTAGGAAACAAGGGCTATTCGAGACACTGCATTATAAATGAATGGTAAAGAATCAGTAAACTAGAGTGAAAATAAAAGCTTCATTAAAGCTGCTGTAAAACGTGTTAAAAATCCCAAAGAAATTTTCACTGAAATATGTGACATTTACATCAACCAATGCCTGTTTTATAGACAAATAAGGAAGTGGATTTCGATGATAAAAAATTATATAATGGACATCGAAAATGGGTACCGTCCTAGCTAACAAAAATTATAACAACTTATGTACTATTTGCCCAATTTCAACAAATAATATCTGATGATGTATAACTGACTTTGAGACACATAGCAAATTTGATATACATCATATCGGGAGTAGTTTACAATGTTTTTAAGAAACGTTTTACGGTAAAAAAAAAACTTGTTACTCAAAGATCACCCTATATTTTGAAAAATGAGTGAAAACGACAGCGTGGAGGAATGTCTTAACAATTATTTTAAAATATCAGTAACTGTAGTTATCCAAGTTTGTTTCATATTCAAACAGATAATGTAACATGAATCTATTGCTTAAAACACTCAATACAAAATTTACCATAAGATGTACTTGATAAAAACAGCAATGGTCCGACAAGAGCAAAGGTATGCAAGAACACAAAGACAGATTTATATGCAATTTTCTTAAATATTAGTGGTACTGTTGTTCAATTTCGTATTCGGGGAGACAGTTTAATTTTTGGAGGAGTCTAGAAAGCAATCTTTTTGCCCCCCAAAAAATCGAAAGGTTTATTAGAGGAAGGACCTAGAATCAGGAATCCACTACATTAAATTTCTTCATGACAGCGTCCAAACCCTGCACCCCTGAAGAGTAAAGGGGTTTTCGGGATAAAAAGAAAGTTAGTATTTTTTCACATTAACAATATTCGCTAGATCTTTTACCGTTTGACTTGTTTCTATTTCCAAACTTGAAAAACCACCTTTCAGAAAGAAAAAAACAAGTCCAGGAAATCATTGGATCAGCTATTTTCCAGTATACTAAGGGTCATACCCAAAAATGTGTTCTAAATATAATCAGAAATTAAATAAAAACTTTAACGGACATCTATTTTAATCAAAAGAGATTAATAAGTTAAATCATGAAGACTAAATCATTAAAGAGCGTCTTTTGCTTCTTTCCGAGCCCCGATGACATTATTTATTGAACGTCCCTCGTATGTCAATTAGTAACATCATCTTATAGGCCCTATACGGTAGTACCTTTTTTGCAAAAAGATCAATCTTTTGAAATACAAGTATGGATCGCATGATTGGAAACATTATTTTTTTTAGTGTCTAGGGAAAAGGTATTGACCTTGACCTGACCTTGCCTTTTATATTAAACGGTCAAATTTAATCTCAGTGATTTCATCACTTAGTAATATTGTCGTCTTGATTCTGTGAAAATTTCATTGATCTATAAATATTTCCATTTCTAATTTTTCTCACTGTGATAACTCTTTGAAAGTTAGCGGAGTTTAATTCTTGATAATTCTACCGGATGTAAATTAGGCAGGTCAATAGGTCAGGAGCTAAGGCGGCATAATATGCATGCAAATCTCGTGCGCACCTGTCTCTGAGTCTCATGCTAAGGAGGCCAAATATGTATGGAAATCTCGTGCGGCTGCCGTTGTGTTTGACGTCAGTGGGCGAGGACTCGTGTAATTTAAATCTATGTCTGCATTTTTAAAGCTACAATTTTATTTCACAATGAAATGGAAATATAAGGAATCACTGTCTAGTTAGTATAGTATGCCAGGGACATCAACAATAGTGTGCAACATGGGATAATTTATGCATGACGGAAATATAAGGAATCACTGTCTAGTTAGTGTAGTATGCCAGGGATATCAACAAAAGTGGGAAACATGGGATAATTTATGCATAACGGGCTTCGCCCGTTCTGCAAATTATCCCATGTTTCCCACTATTGTTGATGCCCTGACATACTGTACTAACTATACAGTGATTCCTTAAATACAAGAAATGTAAGGAGCAAACAACCTTAAGCTGTCGGGTTCTATAGTTTTTCCTTATGCTTAATTTTTTATGCATATTTATATCTTATGTAGTGAGAGTTGAATTTTCTTAATTACACAATTGAACTTGAAGTCTTGTTTCAAATTTGAATCCGAATAATTTGATAATAAATGTACTGGTAAAAGTACTGGTTTAAATCTGATATACATTGAACTAAGGAAATATTTGACCATTTTTTAAATTAAAAACATTTTGAACCTTTTTATTTTTAATTTTTGCACAATTGAAGAAAAAATGACCTACAGGTTGAAATCAAACGTATATTTCAAATGAAGACATGCCAGCATGCCGTGAGGTAAATCGCCTAAAGGTTTGTTGTGTTGAAGATTTGCTGTCTGACATTTTTTTCTGCGAATACAGTCATACAAGAAAGCTTTGTTTTAAGAACATTCCATTAGGTCTACATGAGATAAGATCAAGAAACCTAGCGTGTAAATGACAGGATTAAGTTTGAGATATTTAGGTTGGAAATGTACGGAGACACGAGTATAGCTACCTGAATGCACTCAAGATAAGATATCAAGATGTTGAATTTGTGCTTAACTATCTTAATATTAAGACGATAGTTCATTGGTTTCAGAATACAAATTCATGTCTTGTCCAACTAGTATCATTCTTCTTGATAGGTCATAACATACATGCATATGTACAGAATGTGTCGATTGATTCAGGCAGATTTGCAATTTTGCTTGAGATAAAGTGGTAAAGGAAAAAAATACCATTCTCAGTGTAGGAAAGGGGAAAATAGAAAATGTTGGTTATTACTTTTCGTCATTACTCACACTACAACAGTAACTGTAAAAAAAAAGACTGTTTAAATTTATATCAAATTAGCAGAGAAGCTGATATTGGTTGAGAGAGTTTCCTTTTTGATAATAAAATACACTAATAATTTTTCATAATTATAATGAAATTGAATATAAACGAAATTACTTTTAGCATTTAGCATAATTTAATTCAAACGTTTTGAAAAACTTCGGAAGAAAATTCAGTCAAAGGTACTAATAACCAGTAAATCAAATTCTGATGACCTAATAGATTAGTATCATTTTTGGATATATATCATTATTATTTTTTAAAGTTCCATGTACTTTAATAAATAAGTTTATATCGAAGTGAGTTTCCAATCACTGGGGTGCGTTCAACATCGTATCGGCTAACCTAGCAGCAAAGTAGTAGATATCTATCTCTTTTGAACGGACAGCTAAGCTAGCTGCTAAGTGTTAGATTTTGAATAAAGATATATCAGTAAAAATTTATAACTGGAACAAATAAAGTTTATTTCAGGCGAAAACATGTATTTAAATTTGCATTTTATTCACTTAAATATAGGAAATAGCCCTCCTTTTGTAAAAATCTTGAATGCTGCGAATTTGTAACCAAGGAAACCATCTTGGATTTGGGATGTAGCATTAAATATTTATGCTAGCTCTCCATACGTAGCAGCTAGGTTAGCTGTCCGTAGTAGAACGTAGCTTTACGTAGCGAAGCGGCTACGTACGTAGCAGCTACGTTGTTGAACCCTCCCTTGCTCTTCAATATATGCCCGATTTACTTTTTCAATAAGAAAAGAAGCAAAAGGGTGTAGACATTTTTCTTGGAACGTTCGAACCTGAATATTTGTATTTTGTTCATGACTTAGTTATTTGATGAGGTGTCTCATAATTGCGTCTGATGTATGAAAGTATTAATTTATTGTCATGGTCTCCGGGCGATGATATTTTATTTATTTTCATGTTTTTAGCAATGCTTACATATTTTTTTTTGGCAATTATATTTATCTCAGTACATAATTAGTTTAAATATATTTCGTGCTGATGATATCATGAAATATTTCATACAAATTATTGTTGATGAATTTTTTTTCCTACAAAGAATAATAAGTCAGAATACCACATTTATCTGTCTTTAAATTAAAGATTGCCTTTATCAATGTCCCTGAAGAGGTTCAAGATAACAGATCGTAGGGAGTCCACACATTTCGTCAAGTAGGTTTGTATTGTCATTCAAAGTTTAAAATGTATGATATTTTGTTTGTTTTGGACTCCTATTAATTCATGCAACAACGTTTCTTTGTAAAATACTCCAAACATGGCGCAGCTGACGTAAGCGACTAGCCATTTTTCTTGTACTTTTTTTCTCTTTTCCCCCTTATAATGCTGTTAATTTTCAATAAAAACTAGATCGACCGAGTGTGTCTTGAATACAAAAGAAACATAAAGCAACACTCGGGAAAGTTTAAAGAAACTAATGTAATTATGACCAATGAAAGAGTAGGATTTCCATCTACAGAAAAATGACTGTAGAGTAAGATTTTCTCTACGGAAACACAATAGATTCGGGTCTACTTTGTGTAGTACATATTTAGAAAAAGAGTACGATTTCCGCAAGAGGCAATTCTCTCCACAATAAAATATAATAGTCATACTTGTGTTTTGAGGGTAGGGGAGGGAGGGCATTGGTAAAAGTCCCCCTAAAAAGATGAACAGATGCATTGAAACATACGACGAAAGAAAATTGAAATGTGAATTTTTTTTTCAAAAAATGAGTATCCAATTTTTTAAACTGTTTTATCGATTTAATAATTTTCTTTCCATGTACATGTAGCTACAAATAAGAAAGCTGTTTTGTTTCAACGAAATAACTCACTGTCATGTTTAAGTGCAACTGAGTGTAACTTCGAAAATTTTCACGCCATGAAAATTATTGTCAACTCAAGCGGTGGGTTAATTCGAGTAAACTTCCAAATACGTGTAAACTATTCATTATCACTGACCTGCACGGTAACGTGCGAGGTAGTAATAATTAAATAATAAAAAGAAGTTTTAGATGTTATACTTCTAACAGTATTTTAGTTTAATACTTCATCAGAACCAAGACACAATTTTCAGTTAAATTTTGAAGAGAGATGCATGTTCATCAAACATGCAAAAAACAAAGGTTTTCATAAAGGAAGACAAACGGGAAAAAAAGAGGCTTACCACTTTAAAAAATATATACAAGAGTCAATATAATACAATATATTTCTTGAAAACAATATTACGAGAAAAAAAGTTTCCTGTTAGATCTTACAATGCTCCCACCATCGTTCAGATATACAAAAATTTTCTGTGTGTAGAATCTGTTCAATCGTCTTTCACATTTACCTTCAGTCGACGCAATCTTGTGTATTACAATGTTTTTTTTAAAAGAAGCAAAGGAAAGAAGTTGCTTTTAATTTATCGTTAAATTTTTTATAACTTGTAAATCCTTGGTGAAAAAAGATACGAATTGATATTTGGTGTCCCTTGTTAAATCCAACATAAAATTAATTTTCCTAAGGTAGGTATAAAAATGTTATAATTACATTGATATTACCACTGCGTACTTAAGTTAACTATTTCCAAAAACTAGTTATTATTTGTAATATTTTTTGTTATCTTGACAATAATATTTATATGAATCGAAAAAAGGGTTTTTGAGATTTCTTCGATAATAAATAAAGAGTTGGATTTATTATTTCTAACATGATATTATGACATATATAACTGGTGAATCAATTGTATATAGCTGAGAGTTTAAATCACTGGATGATCGCTTCAGATGTGGTCATTTTCTTCCATACATCGGAAGTTAAAACGAAGGTATGATTTTTCATTCCTGAAAATAAAGATATGTAAAATAAACACATGCTTAACTCTTTTGCAATGAAAATATCAATCTGATGTTGCAGGAAATAGTGTTAAATGGTAGGTGGTTTATATGTAGTACCGGGAAAAAAGAAATGATTGAACATTTTCATATTTAGAACGTCCAAATCCTAATGAAGTGTACATGTATTATGACCATTTTAAAAGTTGTCGTTTTCTTCACGAAATTTTAATAAACTCTCAAAAATGAAATATGGATGCAAAGAACAATATTCAAGCTCAAATGTCCATTTAAACAATACAAACCAGTTGCCGAGCAAACATGAACCTCTATATTATAGGGAATTCAGCTTTATACGAGGGGTGATAAAAAAAATTTGATATCTATTGCCCTGTTCACACGGAGAGTTCAATTCGAATTAAACGTAAGTTTACTGCGAATTAGCTTCGCTTAGCGTTCACACGGAGAATTTAATGCGAATTAGTTTACTTCGAATTAGTTTACTGCGCATTAAATTATTTCGCATTAGCTCCGTGTGAACGCTAAGCGAAGCTAATTCGAATTAAATTTTGGGGCATGCGTAATGGCAAAATTAAGTCAAATGCGTAATGTCGGTGTTCAGCTTTAAGTACTTGTGCTATTTTTAAGTGAAAAACTAAGAAAAAATGTGTTAATCACTAAAATATGTCTCCAGACACTGTGACATTATAATGTCAAATGCATCTGCTTATGCATAAGGTGACGCGATTTGCAAATGACGTCATAATAGCCTTACTGACGCCCGACTGCCGAAGTAGAATTTTAATTCGCATTAGTTAACTTCGCATTAGCTGTCGTGTGAACGAAATTTACTTCACATTAGTTTAATTCGCATAAGTTTACTTCGCATTAATTTACTGCGAATTAAACTTGTCGTGTGAACAGGGCATATATAACCACAATTCAGATTAGAATAAAATCTGGCACACCTATAGTCATGCACATGTTCTATAAAAAGCATATAGGAAAAGTAATGATTTTTTTCATCATTGTGACGTCACATTATGAAAATGACATCAATATGTAGGTGACTCGTAACGAAAAATGGTTGTCACAGTCTTACCAGAGCAACGAACAGTTGTAGTTTAACGTATAACTTGGAAATTCCTTTGAAGTGTCTTATAATAATTTGAACAAGGTTTATGAAGACAATAGACTTAAAAGACAATCAATCATCAATTGGATTGACTGTCGATGTGAAGAGTGGGGGATTATTAAAAATGGCGTTCGTTTTGTAGCCCAGCGGAGGCAATCTGGGGAAACAGATGTGTCTTTTGTTGTGCAATTTATAACGAAAGACTGCGAATTTACAGCTAGAAAAAAATAGTTGAATATCTTAACAATGATATTATTATTCAATCCCTTAAACGCCGTTAACTTTAGACTTTAAACATTTTAAATATGATAAAAAAGAAGCCCCTATACTATAAATCCATAAAATGACGTTCCTAAGACAGAGGACTCGGGTAGTGATGGTCACCATTCTCTTTCTGGGAAAGAATATCCTTATCCAACCATCCTATTGCCGAGATATGGCCATTTTTGAAAAATGGACTGTTGTTGTTTAAAAAAAATATATTGCATGAGAAGAAATATAAGACTTGGGAAAATATTTTGCGCCTAGGTACAGAATGCTTCATAGCATATCATATGACCACCTGGATTGCATGATTCGCACATGGGCAGAACGGTGGCAGATATGCATAAAAGTCAGAGTCAGAGGACTTATTTAAAAAATAAAGAAAACTGAATCCTGGTTTTATTTGTTTTATGGAAGTTATTCAATTTCTTCGCGAACTTTTTCCCCTCGTATGCTGCACAACTAAGCATAAGATGCTATTGATTTAAAACTTCTTCTTTAACTTTTGAAACGAATATAACTTCTTTTTATCAATGATATGGCCTATTAGCATCATACAGAGGAATTCATGTCTTGTATTTCCCTAATTTTCCTACACTTTCCACTTTTACGGTCAATTACAATTAATTGTGAAGCTACAATGTACATTTGACTGACTTGCGTCATTAAAAGTGTAATACATGTAAAAGATATGTCACACAAAAATAGGAACAATCTTTAGAAACAGCACATGACGTTTTGTTGAATTCAAAGGTTTCAATTTGACAACCACATACATACACCTGGGATTCGAATGGTGCTTAAACAATGCGTAGTTTTCATATGAGATAATGTTTTGAAACGTCCACTTTCGTCAATTCATTGTACATGAATTTGCTATTCCTTAAGTAGAAAAAACTTACTTGTACATAATCGTAAAATGTATATAATCCTTGATGCTTTTGCATAAAATCAGTAATATAAAAAGTATATCTGATTTTATCCATGTATTTAATAATTAACTATAATTTACCCTCCTGATGTCAATGAAGTTGGCTAAGAGAGAGAAGGTGCAGTTTGACATAACGTTTCCTCCACTTGTTTTTTAGCATTGACAACATAATTGTCCATCTTTCCTCCGTCTGCAGAGTATGGAAACTCCAGTACCCCATGTGACAAATCTATGTAATAAATACAACTTTAATTCACAAGCATTAAACCATAAAAATATTAAAACAAAAAAGTTGTGTAAAAATTCAGAAATTGAAAGAAATTTCCAATTATCTATAGTGAGAGTGTTATAGACTTTGCAAACAGTACTCTATTGATTCTACCTTTTGATATTTTATACTTGTAAAAAGAATCAATGTTTTCAGCGTATACCTATTAAAGAAATTTCCCTCTTCCGTCTCTGTTCCCATAAACACAGATATCCACCATTTTCATTATAGCAAGTTGACCTTGCAGGGCACAGATTCATTTTACATTCATCTCGATCCATTTCACATTGGTTCCCGATGTAGCCGCCATGACATCGGCATTCATAATTTGTCTGATTCATTATACAGGTCCCATTATTTTGACATGGTGCTGAAAGACACTGATCAAACACGTCACAAGTTTTATCTAAGTTGCCAGGTAAGCAGGAACAAGAAAAAGTAGCTTTTCCATTCAAACAAGTTCCATTGTTGTGGCAAGGTGAACTTGAACAGTAATTGTACTCCTCGCAGTTGTCTCCCTTCCACTCATCCGGACAATCACAAGTGTAGGACGTGTTCTTGTTATAACAGATACCATCATTTCTGCATTGTAAGTTGAAACAATGATCATATATATCACAGCTTTTGCCCATCCACCCCTGTGGACAATTGCAAATGTATGTGTTTATAGAATTCTGACAAAGTCCACCGTTTTTACATGGATTAAAAAAGCAAAAATTATAGAGTTCGCAGCGTTCTCCATACCAGTCGTTAGGGCAAACACAAAGGAAAGAAGAGTTCCCATTGTGACAGGTTCCATTATTTTCACAAATGGGTACTGCGCAATAATCAATTTCGTCACATAATTTTCCTTTCCAACCAGATTTGCACTCACAGTGATATTCAACGCGCCTTCTTCAATACATCGTCAATTATTTTGACAAGGAGATCTTTTACAGGAATGATACTCACAGATGAACGTGCTCTTTTCATTGATGCAGATCTGAAGTGGTCCGCATGGATTGTCTTTACAGAAATTTCTTTCACTGCACTCAACACCTGTCCAGTCTTTGGAACATTGACAAACAGGTCCTTGTTCTGTGTCAACACAGCGTCCGCCATTAAGACAATGAGAAGTTGAGCAATCCTTGCATACAAAGCCGTTCATTTTGTTTATGCATGTTGTTTTTCTTGGACAAGAATTATTAAGACATTCATCTATGTCTACATCACAAATCTCCCCACTCCATCCTTCAGGACATGTGCAGTTAAATGACCCGTATGTATTTGTACAAGATGCGCCATTTTTGCAGGGAGATCTCGTCTTGCATTCATCTATATCAATGTCACAGTGTCTTCCTGTAAACCGGTTGTCACATGTACAGCAAAATAATTCTTCTACATCAAAACATGTTGCATTGTTTTTACGAGGGTCGAGGGAACAAGAACTGATATGATTTTCACAATGACGCCCTGTCCAATTTGGTGCACACATACACTTGTAATCGCCATAGTCATTAATGCAAGTGGCGTGAGACCCACATACAAAATAAACACACTCATTTACATCTTTGTCACAAAGGTCTCCTTTAAAAAACGGAGAACATGAACAAGTATAACCGTCAACAGCATCGATGCAAGTTGCATTGTTATGGCATGGATTAGATGCGCATTCATTAATATTTACAGCACAATCGATGCCAGTGAAGCCTTTCTCACAATTGCACGTAAAAGCACCAGCACTATTTAAACAGGAGCCATGCCCATGGCACGGATGTTTTTGCTGACACTCATCAACATCAACTGAGCAATAGTCACCTTTCCATCTATTTGCACATTTGCATAATGCAGTTGCGTTCACATTTGCTCCCATAGCTAAAGCTGAGTTTTTTTGTGAAGTAGATAAATGAACCACACAATTTCCACCGTTTTCACATGACATAGAGTTACAAGGATCCACTATATCACATAAATCGCCGACCCAGTCAGGATCACAATGACAGGAATAAAGAGTATCCTTAGAGGCGTGACAACTTCCGTGAAGACACGCATTGTTTTCACATGCATTTGTTTCACAGTTTTTCCCTGTCCATTCTGCATCGCAGTGACAAACATAAGAATCTGCTAAGTTCTTGCACGTTCCCATAAGACCACAAGAAGCGTTAAAGCAGTAATCTATATTTGTACAATTTTTTCCCACCCAGCCTTCTAAACAGGAACATTCCACGTGCAAACTCACTTGCAGACAATTACCATGCCGTCCACAAGGGTTATTGGTAAAACAAAAGTTTTCTTTTTCACACTGATGCCCTGTCCATTGAAGAGAACATGAGCATGTAAACCCATTAGCATGATTATGACATGTTCCATTGTTTATGCATGGGTTAGACAAACAGAAGTCTATATTTTCACAAAAACGACCGTAAAATTCTTCTTTACAGGAGCAGGTATAATTATACACATTATTATTGCATATTGCTCCATTCTGACACGACGCATTTGCACAGTGATCAACCTCATCACATGAGAGACCTGTCCATCCGATATAACAAGAACAGTTAAACCCTATATCTGTGTCCTTACAAGTACCACGATTCCCACATGGAATTTTAAGACAGTGGTCAATTCTATCACAGTTGCTTCCTGCTATTCCAAACGGGCATTCGCAAGAATATACTCCCAAATTTTCCTTACAGATACGAGGGGCAACACATGATGACATGTGGCAAACCTGTGTCAATTCACAAACTTTCCCAGTATACCCAGGGTCACATAAACATACAAAGTCATTATGCCCAGTAAAACATTTCCCGTGATTAGAACAAGTAACATTATAGCAGAAATCATACGACTGGCACTCTAATCCAGACCACCCAGCATCGCATTTACATAAAAAGCCATGATAATCAGGTTCTACTACCTTGTGACATATACCGTTTTTGCTACATGTTTGTTGAAAACAGTAGTCACGCATTTCACAGAGTGGTCCCATATAGCCCATCGAACAATGACAAGTATAGTTACCACCAGATATCACACATGTAGCACCATTCTGACACTGGTTGTAAGCACAGGAATTTCTCATGGAGCAATCAGGACCGGTATATCCTGTGTTACAAGTACACACGGCTTTTCCATTGTGACCATTGCAAGTTCCATGATGATTACATGTATCACTGTGACATTGGTGTGCAGTTAACGATTCACAGTTTGTACCAACGGTCCCTGTTCTACACTGACATGAGTAACTCCCGATCTTGTTGACACACTCTCCTCCATTACAAGGTTCCAGAAGACATTCATCCTCATCAAGCTGACATTTTAAACCGTAAACAGAGGAAGGGCATTTACAGTGGAAACTACCAACTGTATTTGTACAGTTTCCATGTCCACAAAACTGTCGAGTAGCACATTCATTTATGTCCTGATTGCAGTTATTTCCATGCCAACCTACAACATATATCAACATCGACACACATACTAGAATAAGATGTGCTCTGTGGTGCAGTTTGTTATTATAATATTCAAATTACGCATTTAAAATGCATGCTAAAAATATTTTCTAACTTTAAAAGTTTTTTGTCAGTTGTGGTCTTTTCCAAGTTTATCAATTTTCAAAACTAAACCATGCAAAAAGAAAATGCTTTCTTTCATTACCCTTTCGTATGAGGCGCGTTTTTTTTTTTTTTTTTTTTGGGTATTTTTTTCAATTTAGTCATATAATCACCAATTCAATCAAATACTGGTAGGTGATATCACTTTAAGGCAGTGAATACACAAAACGCCGACTCATTATTACAGTTATAAAAAGTAGATTTTGAGTATACAAGCAATCTGCTGTATATTGGACAATTTTATGACAACTTTTAATCTTTAGCAATTGTAAGATTGTTTTAAATCAGCTTACCCATTATTCAGTAGGTATGAATATCTTACCCATTTTACAGTAGGTATGACCGTTGACGACACACTTCTGTGGATAACCAGGACAATGGTCTGTACAGTCTGATCCATAGTAACCCTCAGGACAGTACGCCTTGTACGTTAACTGGATACTGAATAAGAGTAAATTTTTTATAGCATCACTGTAATTCTTTTCTGTACAGTCATGTGACATTTTTATAGTAAAAATATATTTTTTTAAGTTGTCTTATTGTGATGATTGTTTATTCAGTTTGTGTGAATAAAGAGCAAACGCTGTCTTACAAAAAAGTATTTTTATCCAATATAAAAAATGCTGTCAATCTCTTCTGTCGCCAGTGTTGTGAAAGTGCATTGTCTCCTAGTCTTATATTGTAGTCCGAGAACTCTGTCTGGTAGATGAGTGGTGAGGAGGAGAGTTGTAAATCTACAACTCTCACTGATATCTTGTCCTGATAATTTTTCTAAATTTATAAGATAACAGTTATTGAATACAAAGTATAATCAATTGACTGTACAAGAAATAAAAAAAAGTATTCCAGTGTACATATTTGTGTCAAATTAGATTTACCCATGAATCAATTTCTAAAAACTGTGGGTTGGTTGTATTCCCGACTTTAGATCCATAGAAGACGCCTTGTCGTTTCATGTCTAATGTTGTGGTAAAACTAGACACACAGGGATGATTACTGTTTCTGTAGCAATAAAAAATAAAATCATCAAAATATTTGTGCGAATGTTCAGTATATTATCAAAGTCAGAAAAGTCATATACATCACTCACTTAAGACATACGGTGAGTACAGGTTTACACAACTTGGTACACTGGGTACCGACCACTCCCTGACAACATCCTCCTCCGTGAAGTTTATTACCGGGAATCCTCACTTCATCTATGTGGATGAAGAATGTTATCTTCCCTACTGACATCTGTAAAAGTAAAAATGAATAAAATAAGGTGGAGCACATGTACATGCACGTATTTAGTATTTTCACTATTTTGAAAAGCTTTGGACGTATTTCATTTTTTCTTACTACATTTTTAAATTTGTTTCTAAGGAATCGCTGTCTAGTTTGTTGGATATGCCAGGGCATCAATGATAGTTGAAGAACATGGGCGGGAACTATTGAAATTAACATAGTTCATATATGATAGAAACTTTATCGTATATTGCTTTCAGATTTTTTAATGGAAAAATGTCGGGAATTTCAATATCTTGGGTCGCTAGAAACAACAGTAGTAGTTATAAGTACCTTAGCTAAGATAATCCATATCAGCAATAAAAACAAAATATGCGTTTGTGCAGCCATAATTTACGTCGGATTGTTGATAAGTAGTGTTATCTAACTAAACTAGTGCTAATTGTAACGGGGACCGTTACAGATGTTCCCCAAACGCTCCCCAACTCCCTTTTGGTGCCGTATTCCCGGTAAGCTTCATTAAAGAAGACAAACTTGAGACTTAAACAACGTTTACCTAGAAGTGTACCAAGTTCATTCAAATTTTAGCAATGCACGCGTGCGCATGTGAATGCATATAAGTAATGGCCATATCATCTTGTGTACACAATCTATTATATTATTTATACTAAATATTAAAGTAGTTAACCGAAATTTTTAAAAAATACGCTCATTCAAGTGTATTTTTGACTTTAAATATTTCCCGTGCACGCACGTGCATACACGAGCATGGTGATCATACTTTCTTGTAGAAGTCAATTACATCTATCTATGTTCTAAATCCCATCCCGTTTGGTTGAAAACCAAGGAAGTTATAGCTGTTTAAAGTTTCAGCCAATCAGATTGCAGCGCACATACTTGCACGTGCATGCATACATGTGCATGGTGTCCATATCATCTTGTAGAAGTTTATTATATCTATCTATGTTCCAAATTTCATCCTGTTTGGTTGAAAACCAAGAGAGTTATAGCTAGTTAAAGTTTCAGCCAATCAGATTGCAGCGCACGTGCATGCACGTATTTCCATAATTATTGCTATGTTTCGTGTTGTAGGATATCTCAATACATGGCTATGTTCAAAATTTCATAGAATTTCGTCAAAAAACAAGAAAGATATTGAGACTTTAGTTTCAGCCAATCAGAGCCAGGCGCACGTGCATGCGCGTGAGATCTTGCAATTTTGACGATGGCATCTTGTCTATGCTACTAATATGTCTTAATATTATGAGTTTCAACGCATTTCATCAAAAATTGAAAAAGTTACATCTGTATCAATTATATTGGTCATTTTTCGTGTCGAACGTGCGCGCTCTTGCAAGCACGTGCGCGCAAAATGACCTTCGTACGGCAAATCTACATAACATGTCTACTGACCCTAAAAACATTTTACCTTAGTCAGATATGTAGTTTACAAGATCACTCGAGGACAAAATTTTCCCAGGAATAATAATAATAATAATAACTAGAGCCGAGCTCGTTGCAAAGCAACGAGTAGGTCTTCTGTCCTGTTTGACCGGAAGAAGCTTTAAATTTAAAAAAAGAAAGAGAAATAACGCCTAAAAATGGTTTGAATCCTCTAAAGGTATGTTAATTAATGCAAAATATGCAAATTTTTGCTACTTCCGGTTTAACCGGAAGTGATGACGACGGACGGAAAAATTAATTCTTATGCTCCCAGAGACATATGTTACCCAAAAACTTTACAAGAACGGCAAAAATATGCGTTTTTGACTACTTCCGGTTTGACCGGAAGTGAGGACGCCGGACGTATTTTGACGACACAAATAGATTAAGCTTGAAATTTTGAACAACTTTGCTTCTTTGACGTATTACAAATACTCAATACTTTTTGAGATATCAATTAAAAACTTTTGGCCCCTCTAGATCCCTTATTTTAGGGGTCAGCCCTTTTTTCGAGATATCAATTGAAAGAAGTCGAAATTTTTTCACAACTTTTGTCCTATATGTTTTTACAAAATATTTACAAGTAAAATGATATAATAGAAAAAGTGTTAGAAATTTTGAAACGCTAAATATGACTTTTTTCAGTCCATACCGAGCGTAAACGTGCAGTACTTCCGGTGAAAGTTAACAACACAATGCAAATCTACATATGTTGCTCTATCTTCCAGAAAAGGTTTCATCGTCCTGTGATGAGCCGTTTTTAAGAAGAGCGACGGACAAACTGACCCTTAAAAATCACAAAACTGCGAAATTCTCCGAACCGGAAGTGACGTCATCAAAATAAAAAAAAGGGTATCGAGATTTTTTAATGATCTATCAGACCTTAAATTTTCAAAAAAATCTAACGAGCCGTTTTCGAGAAATCGCGTGCACAAAATCGGTAAGAAAAAAAATAAGAAGAAAAACAGTGGAAAAGAAACAAACGAATAACAAGAAGGTCTTCCGCTGAAGACGGAAGACCTTAATAATAATAACTAGTTCTAATTGTAACGGGGACCGTTACAGATGTTCCCCAAACGCTCCCCAACTCCCTTCTTGTTCCATTTTCCTGTAAGAATTTTTTTTAAAAAAATATGCACAGTATCAAAGGATTTCATCAAAGAATTATCAAAACTACAATGATATCAACTATATCCCATTTGACGTATTGCACGCGCACGCACTTGCATGCACATGCAAAATTATCAAGGCAGGTTGTTTAAATCATTAACCTATGTTTATATCGTGAGAATCAATCAAAATATCATAAAAATATAAATGTTACCATTTTTCAAATATTTTGCTGATTTTACGTATTGCACATGCACATGTGCATGCATGCATGTCCTTGCATTTAAATTTGATAGAAGCATAGTGTAGAAATCAATTATACCTATTCATATTTCTGAATTTCATCCCGTTTCGTTGAGTTACAGACATTTAAAGTTTCAGCCAATCAGATTGCAGCACACGTGCGTGCGCATGTTTTTATGATAATTCTTATATATCATGCTGTAGATCTTTATAGAGTATGAATATGTTCAAAATTTCAAAGGATTTTGTCAAAAAACAAGAAAGATATTGATACTTTTGTTTCAGCCAATCAGAGCAAAGTGCACGCGCATGCGCGTGAGATCTTGCTATTTTGACCATGTCATAATGTCTATACTACTTATATATCCTCATATTATGAGTTTTAAAGCATTTCATCAAGAAATAGAAAAGTTGCCGCTATATCTATTATATTAGTCATTTTACGTGTTGCACGTGCGCGCTCTTGCAAGCACGTGCGCGAGGAACATGCCATCATGCCTATACAACTAATATATACTTATATTATGAATTTCAAAGCAAAAAGTCAAAAAATAGAAAAGTTACGGCTATATCTATTATATTGGTCATTTTAAGTGTTGCACGTGCACGCTCTTGCAAGCACGTGCGCGGAAAATGACCTTGATTCCGCAAATCTACATAACATGTCTACTAACCCTGAAAAGGTTTTACCTACTTCGGGTGAACAGTTTACAAGATCACTCGCGGACAAAAAAGTACCCAGGAAGAAGAAGAAAAATAATAACTAGTGCTAATTGTAACGGGAACCGTTACAGATGTTCCCCAAACGCTCCCCAACTCCCTTTTAGTTCCATATTCCCTGTAATATACTATATGTGAAAGCATTCAGTCCAAAAGTATTAAAAATTACTCATTCAAATGTATTTCAAATTTCATTCGTTCCAAATGCACGCACGGGTATGCACGTGCATGATGACCAAACCTTCTTGTAGGAGTCCCTTATATCTATTTATGTTCTGAATCCCATCCTGTTTGGTTGAAAAACAAGGGAGTTATAGCCATTCCAATTTTCAGCCAATCAGATTGCAGTACACGTGCATGCACGTGATTTCATAATTATTTTTCTACATCGCATTGTAGGATATCCTAATGAATGATCTTGTTTTAAATTTCAAAGCATTTCGTCAAAAAACAAAGGAGATATAGTCATTTAAAGTTTCAGCCAATCAGATCGCAGCACACTTGCATGCGCGTAATTTCTTGAAATTTTTTGTATATCATATTGCAGAGCATCCTAATGTATGATTATGTTTTAAATTTAAAAGCATTTCGACTAAAAACAAAGGCGATATAGTCATTTAAAGTGTCAGCCAATCAGATTGCAGCACACGTACATGCGCGTGATTTCATGAATTTTTTTCTATATCATATTGTAGGATATCCTAATTCATGACTATGTTTTAAATTTCAAAGCATTTCGTCAAAAAACAGAGACGATACTGACATTTTTGTTTCAGCCAATCAGAGCGAAGCGCACGTGCATGCGCGTGAGTTCGTGCTAATTTGACAGTGTCACATTATGTACACTACTTATATATCCTTATATAATGAGTTTCAAAGCATTTTATCGAAAAATGTTAAAGTTATGGCTATATTAAATATATTAGTCATATCACTCATATCACGCGCCTGCACGTGCAGGCGTATGCGCGCAAAATGACCTTCGTTCCGCACACCTACACTACACACCTATTTACCCTATAAAGGTTTCAAGTCAATTGGATGAACAGTTTCTGAGAACACTTGCGCACAAAAAAGTACCGGGGAACAAATAAGAAAAAAAACTAGATGCGTTCTTGTTGCTGGTGCAACAAGCAGGTCTTCCGACCGATTTTCGTTAGAATTCTATGCCGCGTCATTCCATGAAATTTCAGAATGTATTTTTTTTTCGTTTACGTTCATTTACAGCAGCCTCTTAACATATTTCATAATTATTACAGGTATTCCTCAAAATATCTCAAAAATAGCTTTTAAAAATCGGCAAAATCTTCCGTATATGTTAAAAAAGAGAGAAAAGTTATTTGCAACTGAAAAAAGACAGAAACAAAGAAAAAAAAAATTCAACGCCCACAGCGGGATTCGAACCCTCGACAGTGGGACAAAGTTTGGTTTTGTCATATCTTTTCAATAGATGCATGCATCAAGATACTAAATACATATTTAGAATACTCATA